GTTTGTACAGTACTCACAGTTCCTTCTAGAAATCGTTTGAGATCACCGACTTCTTGCAGAGCTTCAGCTACGAACTCAACTTTAGAAATTCACGATTTATTTCATATCTATTCACGATTCACAGCCAAGGACTTTTGCATTTCACGCCTCACGGAATACACTTCAATCACGATTCACGGAACAGTTTTTGAGCAAATCACGATTCACTGAGCACAAAAAAACTGGATCACGGCGTCACGAAAATACCCTTGCCCCCTCTAACTCGTTAAGTTTCAAAACATTTGGAATTTCGTCAAAAACACTCCGCTACGTTTTGGTGTTTTCAACACCCTCCTCGGTTGTTGAGAATGTCGTGAAACACTGTCTGTAGCGTTTGATAAAACTTGGTCTCTCGTGTTTGACAAATCACGTAAAAGCTGGAAGATTTCTGAGTGTCCTAGCTAACCACGTTTTGGGTTGTGTTCTTCATCTATTGCCATAAACTACCATATTGTCAATAAATTTTGCGAGTACTAAATTTCGCGACTTTCTCGATTTTGAAAAACTCGCGAAATTTAATACTCGCGAAATATTGGACACGCGAAAATTCAAATCGCGAAATTTTAATACCTACATAATATCAATTGATAATGAAATTCAAACTGCTGTTTTATTACTGTTATTGCGATGAAACGAAGCTTCCCCAGAAGATCCGTTCAGCGACTTCGAAGGATAATATGGATCTTCATAAAATGGCTGACAGAACACGATAAGAACGAAGTTTAATCGACATGTAGAGAAAGATAAAAACAGCTGCACAGCAACATTAAATCATTGGCAAAAGAGAGCGCACTAGCTAGCTAGCTAGTGTCAAGATCGAAGGAGTTTTGCAAGGGAAAGTAACACAAAACCAAACCAGAACCAAGCTGTCAAAACATTAACTCTCTGCAATCGTCCATTCTAACGAGGTGTATCGATCATGACAGTGAAGAATACAGAATCACTCGGTAATTCCTCCAACCAAACCAGGTCAGTGTTTTATTGCCCGGAGTCGCCACAATTCATCTGGGACTTACATCACACAACTTCTTTTAAGACTTTTGTTGCCATCACGACCATTGCTTGTCCCGTTACCATTCTGTTAAACCTCTTGGTAATCATAGCAGTAAAGACGAGAAGAGAATTGAAAAAGAATTCAAACATTCTGCTGTCTAGCTTGGCCTTAGCTGATCTTTTGGTGGGCGCTGTATCTATGCCATTGACTATAACGTTAGACGCGCTAGTTCTGCTGGAAGTTTCATCTGAGAATGTTATCTGTACGATATATTCTGTAAGCGAACTTGTACTGTATACTTTTTACTTTGTGTCTTTTTTCCACTTGCTCCTAATTGCCTGGGAGAGGTATGTGGCGATAGCGAAAGGGATGGAGTACAACGCTACTGTTACAAGAATTCGTTTAAGGAAGTTTGTCAAAGTTGCATGGCTGTCGGCAGTTCTTGAGGCAGTTACCATAATGGAAGCCGCTGGCATCGATTATGAAGTTTTGTCTGCCGTGGATGTTACCTTGAGTATTTTCTGGGCTGCGCTTGTTTTGCTAATAGCATACTTTTACGCGAAGGTTAACCTCGAAGTTAGAAAAAGAAACAAGACGAAAATACTACTAGCGAATGCTATCGCCGAGAGGAAGCTTGCTTATACCACTGCGCATTTAAGTTTTTTTGTTGTTATCTCGGGTTTGCTTACACTTGCAGTTTATCTCTTCCGGGGGGCGTCTCTTCTCCTCCATCATTCCAGTTTTCAATGGGCAGAGACAATGCTTCAGTTTAACTCTCTCTTCAATCCACTACTGTACTGGAAAAGCAACCGTCAATCAAGGAAATCTGTAGTGAAGATGTTAAGGGGTAATAATTCGCGAAGAATCAAGCCAACGACCAGCAGTACCCGTCGCATTAGGCGACGCCAGTATTCTGAGACATCGCTAGATGTTGAAGAGAATTGTAACGGAAAAACACTACCCCGCTCTGATAGATTAGAATCTTGCAGTGCCGTGATTTACCCGGATATGATTCAGTGGAATAAGGCAGTCGAGGAAACACCCGTGTCAGCTCCATCTATTGCATCAAGCGATGAGGACTTCACACAACAGCGCAATAAACTAATTGTAACAATTCAGATTGAAAATGCCCCAAGAAAGCGGAAACGCATTCAGTGCAAAACTGAATTACCAAAAAACACCACGGAGCTTGGAAGGACTCGGCGTCATATCGGTGGTAAAATTGAGCGATCAAAATCACTCAGTGAAATCTATCTTGATGGTGAAACAGAAAGGAAAACCTGGAGAACCAATTCGCTGCCAACGATTTCAACAAACATCGCGAGAAGCTGAAGGGTTAAAGATTTATTCAAGTTAGCTTTAAAGGAACTACAGCACGGTTTGCGCAACTTGAAAAGTTCAGCCTTTTCTGCCTTAGCAAACTACTATTTTCTGGTCACTTTCAATAAAAGGAATTTTGTACGTGGTCAAAATAACTCAAAATACCGTGACTGAACTCCTTTAAACATGGTACCCAGTTCTTCCGCGAGTAATGTTCCCACGCGCGTAACGCGAGCGTTCTCGTGGGGATGAAAAGGCGCGAAAGCCACTTGGGCTGTCCACGAGAGCAAATCCTCGACACATGATTGGCTGTTTCAAGACCCTCAAACCGGAAGTGAATTGGTTTCGTACATTCGTGAAACAGGCTCCATGATCTTTTGCTGGGCGCTGTATCTATGCCCACGCCCCCCCTCCGGGGGGTGCTCCCTTATGAAAAGGTTGGCGATACGCATCGTCTCCATTAGGGGTATAAATCAAGGGTTCTATTCTCACTTAGGATGCTCAAAACAAAACGCCACTATTTTTAGTGGTCAAAGTATCTATTAGGATGCACTCGAAGAAATAACAATAAAAAAAACTCCCTCATTTCCGTTTATAGACTCGATTTCGCCGCTCTCTCGAGTCCGGACTACCATCGCATTCTGTTTTAAGTGGTATCTTTTAGGGGTCACGAGGCACGCGCAGGTTGATCTCCTATAGAGGTTGAATTCAAATTTTCCGACGAGCAACCCCACCCCAGAGATCTATGCTTTTGACTATCACATGTTGATACAATATTTTGTTTTCTTACTCTTGGGTAATACGGATCCACAGCATGGTAGAACATCCCATTATGAAGGTACATGGCCTTCCCATATGGAACTTCTCTTGGAGAAAGCGATTGAAAGTCACTGATTTTTCCAATGAGTGCTGTGATGAAAAGGCAAAAATTTCAGTAAGGACTTTATAACATACATTTTTAACATATATTATCGTACATTATCATACATTAACA